TTAAATGGTGCTATGTAATGACTTGATAAAATGATAAAATAAATCACAAATTAAGAGTTATTAAAAGTCGTTACCAAGTGCAATAATGTTAACAGGGACTGTGTCATTTTCAATGAATTGTTTTTAATGTCTATTATCTTAACATTATTTTTGTGTTAGCTCCTTTAATGTATTCACAGTTTGGATTTTAAAATTTATTATATTGTAGGGAGAGTTTTTGTTAAGTGGTCCAAATGCACTTGGTATGTTTGTTACTTGTGAAGGCATATCACAACGGCCACCATTACAATGGTCAAGTAGCGTCATGGCAACAGGATTCACGTTCCCATATGTGTCTGCACTAGATGATGAATTTATCACAGTTCATAGGTATAGTTTAGCAAGGTTATTTGTTATTCTTCAGTAACGAAATGTATTGCATGTGATAATATTAAACACACATTTGCCTTATATAAAAACACTTTTAGATTAGCCTCTCAGTGAGGATTAGTTGTTTCTTCTGTAATTCTTCTTACTTAGGGGATTTGAAGCATTGTGACATATACATATGGTTAATGTTACTACATTGTAATTGTAGTGCAAAACATGTTCTATTAGGAGAAAACAGATAGTTAACACTTCGACTAAAGGTCAACTCTGCTTTGATAGAAAACAACAAAATCTTTGTTGCCCGTAACTGGGACGTTCGGTTAACTGTTAATTAAAGTTTGCGTTCAACAAAAACAAAAATGTATGTTGCCCGTGACTCCAAGTTGAACTTTGAGTTACAATTTAGACATGGTTTCGCAAAAGTTGGAGTTTGTTCTTTGACCATTGATCTGCTTAATGTATAAATAAAAAAAAATACTGTGTGACAATTTGAAATACAGTACTGAATTACCCTGGCATGTCTTGAACACATTGCAGGACGTGTTAAACACATACTGTATTACATCTTGAACACAGTCTGCTTGAGATGTTGAACACTGCGCAACATTTTGAACATACTGCATATGACACACACAATGCATTATGACTTGAACTCCATCTAAGAATTTTTTGACTCCCGTGTGTGTGTGTCTGTTCCACTGATATCTCAAGAACCATACTTTGATTTTTGATGAAACTTTGTGCATAGATGCTCTGGGCCAATAATCAGATTTGATTAGGTTTCGGTAAAAATCCATGCATATTAATTATCTAATTTTACCTAGCATAATTAGTTAAATTTCAGCTTTTCGCCTGATAACTCAAGTAGTGATCATCATATTTCAATGAGACTTGCTACATAGATCCTTTAGGACTATGCAGAGACCTGATTAGTTTTAGGGTAAATAATTGTGGATATTAATTACCTAATTCGCATAATTAGTTAATTTTTTTCCATGAATGTTCCACTTTTAATGAAACTTCAATGAATCTAGGACTATGCAGCGACCCAATTAGTTGTTTGTAAATATTTATGCTTATTAATCACCTAATTAAAATACTTAACACTGATATCTCATCACATTTAAATAAAATTTGGTACATAAATGCTCTTGAACAATAAACAGGCCCGATTAATTTTGGTTTGAAATTTGTTCATATAAATTCTCTAATAGTAATTCATAGTTTTTTTGTTCTAATCACATTTCAATGAAATCTTTGTTGCCTGTAACTGGGACATTTCAATGAAACTCAGCACACGGGAGTTCTTTTTAAGCTTTCTTTGATTATTTTTTATTATTTAGTATCTTAGATCAACAGCAAAAACAGACCATTCCATTCCAGGGAGGGAAGGTGATGAATAATTTTGAGGGGAGATTATTTGTTGCATCCAATAAAGAAGTCTATTCTTTAGTGCCTGTGCCAGTCGATAAACAGGTAAGGATTGTTTGTATAAGCAGATAAACAACTAAATGTACACCATATCCATCAACAGATAATTTTCATCAATTGAATTGTCATATTAAATTGTAGATCATCACTGTGTGATAATGGAAAGTGGAAATTAGCTATTAAGAATCAAAATCATGTCTGCTTTCCAATAAATGAACAAAGTAATACTGTGATAATAATATATGACAGATACATGTGTGTGTTAATGTAGTTATTAAAAATAAATGAAAAAAAAAGAATTGTACAATGACTTTTTTAAAGTGCCTGTGAAATAGCTGCTATTTTCACGCCTAAAATTATCCATTGATACATAAATATTATTATTTTTTTATGTTTCTAAGCATGAATTATTTTTTTAAGTGAAAAAATGTGTTTTAAACTCAATCTACGGCAACTTTATTTTTTGTGTATATATATTTTAAAACGAGGCTCCTCATTAGCTTCTTATTTGCATACAGAAATTCCCCTTGTGACGTTAGTAGGGGAAGTCGCATGGCAGCTTGCATTGCCAATACGTGTAAATAAGGCAAATTTCTTCTGCAGTTTTCTCGTCTTTGACTAAATTTTCACTTATGTACTTCGTCGAGGGGGAATGGACCATAATGAACACATAGTATCAATTTTTGTTGCATGGGGTTGAGTTAGATGCGAAATGTGCTCGTTCTGGTGTAGCTGGTCACCGTGATCGTCAGCGGCGCACGTTTGTACACTGTCGCTGGACAAAATAGAATTTGACGTGGGAATTATCTCGTTATTTAGGAGGTTACTAGGCACGTCACTACACTGTTTTATTTCATCGATCGTCTGAGTAAAACTTTCACAATTAAAATAAAAGAGAACATATTTTGACATTCTAAACATTAGACCATAGTGATCACTATAAAATAATTTAATCACAGTTACTAAATAAATGACAGCCGCGTGGAAATAAATTGAAATTTTGTTGAAATAGGTGAACGCGTCGGGTCACAAAGAGGACAAGTGCGTTAAAAGCGGCGTTTAATTGGATAACAAAAATAATCAAGATCGACACACATACAGATGAATTCAGAGTGGATTCGAGTTAGCGTGATCCATGGCGTGATTGTCATAATTATAACATCATATTAAAACTTTATTTGGTGGAACAGCATTGACCAAGCCCGGATTCTTATTTCAGAAATTATTACGCAGATCAAGCTGCAAGCATGGAGGTAAAAAAAGAACAGAGGTGTGAATTCGACATTCAACACAAACCACCAAACAATTCAGAAACTTTTAGCCTTCGAAAATGAAAACAATTAGCAGTGTGTAAGGGCTGTGTAATTTCTTGTTTGTCCGACGCTTTGTTTTCGTGTCACTGTCAAAATTATTACTACCTTTTACTAAGCGGTCTCTATAAAACGATAATCACGATCGCAAAAAAGTCAACTCATTTGAAACACTTGCCGGACGTCTCTCTCTCTTCTGAAATTCGCCTCGGTGATCATGGTCCGGAATCTATTTCTTTCAAAAGTGTTGCACAAGGTTTATGTTGTCGACATTTCTCTTTAAACCTAGTTGTTTTTATCATGGACGAGGACAGTTTTTCCAAAAAATGAATCTGAGGTTAAGTGGCTTTCGTCCACTGATGTCGCACCTTCGAATCGATTAGAAACGTGTGAATACTTACACTATGACAATACGTTTCACTGCAACTGCCCACAACACAACATCTAAAAACCTGCTCTCTCTCCAAAAAAAAAGAAAATAGACAAAAAAAGAAGAAAAAAAAACGCCGACTGAAAAATGTTTATCGTTTAAAAGTATACTGAATGACCAGTGTTATTACGGCTCAGGGGTATGACTTCCTCTCACATTTTGGCATTTGGTGGCGCACTTTCGGCGAGAGTCGGAAATCCGGAAACAGTCGACCATTTCAGGATAGGTGGGCGTGGCTACAACACGGGAAATATCTCAAATTCACTTGGATACGAGTAATCATTTTCAGCAAAAAAATCTATAACTGCCCATTTCAGTGCGATACAGATCTAAAATGGGAAACGTGAGGGTGGGCATTGCACAGGCACTTTAAGGCATTGATGCAGGTTTGGTTTTAGTCTGTTCATTCATCAACAATTACATTTTTTCGACTGCGTCTTGAAAACTGCCGGCTTTGATACTTGGTATGTATATATCTTTGGTACATGTAGACCTCTGTCAGATTTGTTCATTTCTTGGCGATATCTCCAATTCTCTATTTTTGGCGAATATTTTGTAATTTTTTGTAAAAAATGCTATTTTTTAATTTATTCTTGAAAACTATCCGTTCTATTGCTTTGATACTTGGTATGTAGGTACCTTGGATGGACCACTGTTAGTTTTGTTCATTTTGTATAACATGCAACAGTTGCAAATACATACATACCATACCATTGCAAATAACACATATACATATTTACTTCATTTTCAGATACAAGCCTTGCTGCATGACAAGCGTGTTGATGAGGCACTTGCTCTTGCCAAGAATGCAAAACGAGCAGGGTTGAGTAAAGATAAATTCCTAAAGGTATGAACCATCTAAACTCCATGGTCACAGTCTGCTAGCGTACAAGTGATAATAAAATAAATTTGATATTTACTACAAGGGGCTGCCATCTTTAATACGGCATAAATAAGGGACAAATTGAGAAACATGTTTTTTAGATTCTTACAAATCAGGGAAAACATACCACACTTTCACAGTCAAATGTTTCATTGAAGTAATATTAAACCAAACAAAATTTGGACGAATTCGTCTTTTTTTGTGTGGAAAAATATTTTGCATACAAACACTAAATATCATGAAGAACACTTTCTCTGGGTATTTGAAACCAAAATTGTCATCTAACTGTAAGGCCATTGCTGATTGACAGCTGAGTTGGATTGATGTTCTAGCATAATCCACATACTTGGATATTTCTTGGTGGAAAATGAATATTAAACAGCTGATTTGCATAATAATTAGCCAATTTGTAAATGTTCTACAGGTATCTCTAGAATCACTCATCACATTCAAACTTTACAAACAAAACATCAGAATAAATTCCGTACATACAGACATCTAAAAACAATGTGGGAATAGGAATAGAAATAGAAAATGTTAGTTTTGTTAATTAACGAAATGAAAATGAAGCACTTCCTTCTTAAATGCACCTTTTATAAAAAAAGATAGAAATGAACTTCTCAAAAATTTGCTGCTACCTCCCAAACTTTCTTACAAAGAAAAAATAGTTGCAATACTGAACAATGGTAGTACAAAATTGGTTCCTCAAAATGCTAAGTATATATATGATTGTTTTAAAATCCGAGAAAATAACTTGAAAAAAGTACTACAAGCTGTAATGTTTTAAAGGTTCTATTTGAGTATGATTACGTCACTGCTCTAATTACCCAGAGTTCAATGCTAATAAACAGTAAGAGTGTTTCACCATTTTGAATCTTGAAACTTGTCAATATATTACATTTTGGTGACGAGAATGTTCAATTCCTATGTGGATGAATGCCAAACAAGTGTTGAAGTTTTCTAGGAGAAAAAAGTGTGAATTTTCCCTAAGTTGAGAAGGATTGTGTTCGTAAATCCAAAACTTCCAATGTGTGCGAGATGGCAGACGTTGGAGCATTCATCGATCGAGTTTAATGCCGAACGCTGTTAGTGCCAGCAAAGCCCAAAGACATTCAATTACACGTCATCGTACAAACACTAGAGCGATATTATAATCCAGCACCATTAAAAATTGCTGAGAGTTTTCATTTTGGAACTCAAAATCAGAAACCAGGCGAATCGATCAGTGACTATATTGTGTCATTGAAGAAACTGTCCATTCACTGCAATTACGGACATTTCCTGAATCGAGCATTGAGAGACCTGTTTGTGTGTGGATTGAATAATTATGTGTAAGAGCATGTACAAAGAGAAATTTAGTAATATTCCACTTATTTTATCAGATGTTAAGTTGAAAACATATACTGGTGAAATGCTTAAGGTGTGTGGAGAGATGAGATGAGATGTAATGTTCTGTACAAAGGTCATAAGTATATATTGCCAATAATTGTAGCAAATTATGAAGGTAAACCTACTTTGTTAGGCAAAAACTGGTTGAACCATATAAAGCTTCAGTGGGCTGAGATATTTAGTGTCACTAAATTGGAATCTTCCAGTGCCAAAATTCAACTTGATGAGCTGTTACCAAGACATAGCAAGCTATTTAAAGAGGGCTATGAGGGTATGAAAGGGTTTGAAGCCCACATAACTATGCAAGATAGTGTGAAACCTGTAAACAAAAACCACATCAAGTCCTGTTTGCTTTGAAAAATGTAGTTGAAAAAGAGTTGGACAAACTGGAGCGATACGGTGTGATTGTGAAAACGAAGAGATCAAATTGGGTAAGTCCAATAGTGGTTGTACCAAAATCTAATAAGTCTGTGAGAATTTGTGGTGACTATAAGGTGACCATCAACCAAGCTGTAGAGGATGAACAGTATCCACTTCCTACTACTCAGGACTTGTATGCAGCGCTAGCTAGATCTAAATTTTTTACTAAACTTGTCTTGTCACATGCATATGCACAACTCAGTGTTGATAAAGAGAGTCAAGAGTATTTGACAATTAACACGCATAAAGGACTGTATTCTTATACCAAGTTGCCTTCTGGGGTCAAATCTACTCCTAAAATTTTCCGAGCTAAAATGGATCAGATGCTACAAGGGGATAAAGAAATGAGTGTGTAAACAAGATGACGCTCCCATTGGTGGTGATAACTGGCAGGAGAATCCTAGTTGATGTTTTCGAGAGATTTCGCAAACAATGTTCACTTGAAACTACAAAAGTGTGAATTTCTGAAACCTGAAGTGATCTACTTAGAATTGAAAGTAAATGCTGATGGTTTGCATCCTGGGAGTGAGAAAATTGATGCTATAAAACAAGTACCTGTTTCACTCAATGTTAGTGAGTTGAGATCATTTTTGAGTATGATCCAATATTATCACTCATTTCAGCAATTCCCACCCTTGCAGCAGCATGTATGCAGAGATGGGGGTTAATACTTTCAGTATATGACTATGAAATTCAATATAGAAGATCTGAAGATCATGCTAACTGCGATGCACTTTCCAGGTTGCCACATGGAGACTCCAGAGAGGGTAGTCAGAGTGCGATATATCAAGCGAGTGCCATCAATGATGATTTCCCAATAACAGCAAAGGACATTGGGAAAGCTACAAATGTTGATCCAGTACTTAGTAAAGTATTTCATTTTGTTATGTCAGGGTGGCCAAAGAGTTGTAGTGACGAGACTCTTAAACCATATCATAATACATGTAGAAGACTTGAGTTGTCTTGTGAGCAAAATTGTGTTCTTTGAGATTCCAGGGTGATTATTCCGTCAGTTTTAAGGGAAAAAATGTTAAAAGAATTGCACTGGGAACATCCATATGTAGTATGATAGCAATTGCTCGTACTTGTGTATGGTGGCCAAAAATGGATGAGCAAATTGAAGAGGTGGTGTGAGAGTTTGCACAGTATGTCAAAATGTGAGAAATACTCCACCTAGTGCACCAATTATTACTTGGAAATGGCCAACTAGACCATTTCAGTGTATCCATATTGACTTTTGTCAAAAAGGTAGTGATTATTTTCTTGTAGTAGTTGATAGCCATTCAAAGTGGATTGAGGCGAAACATATGACCTCTACTACTGCTGAGCGTACCATTGATGAGTTGTGTTTAGTTTTTGCTGACCATGGCTTACCTAAAGAGGCTGTGTCTGATAATGGGCCACAGTTTACTTCTGTAGAGTTGGCTGAATTTATGCGTAAAAATGGCATAAAGTATACTTTGGTTCCACCTTATCACCCACAATCCAATGGGTCAGCTGAGAGGTCAGTTAGAGTTGTAAAAAAAGCTTTATTGAAACAAGTTCTTCAATGTACACAAGTGTTCTGTAATTTTCCACAGTCCTGTTTATTTGTTAGTTGAAATCTGTGTATAGATGCTCTGAGAGTAATCCATGAACCACATGTACACTGTATTACTAACCTAATTTAAATAAATTGAGTCACTGTTACAGCAATAGATGTGACCTCCCAATGCTAAGGATTGACAAAGAAAGATGATTTCACTATCAGAATATAAATTTGTTTGTTCTGTGCACACAAGGTACACTGGATTGTACAATATATGAAAATTATTTACAATGAATTACTATACATTCATTATCAGTCAAATACAAATACGTACCTCAAATATCAAGAACTTTCAACTGTATGTGACTATAAATACAACTACAAATATGAGCCAAACATTCAGAACATCCCATGAATATATTATCTTTACACCTGACTACGGCCAGGTTTTAAAAAGATGCACTCCAATTCAATTATTTTAACAATGCTTCAGAAACTCCACCAAACCACATTAATCACTACATAAATTACACTCTCATAAAGCAAACATTCTAACTATATTCTGATAATGTCATGATTATTCAGAATGCTTGCTTCTTAAAACAGTTCATGAAAAAGATTAGTTCCATAAGAAATATCTTTGCCATAGTAACATAGCAATGTACAATAATGCTGGAACGGCAACGTAGAATTACATACTTGAGACGACGATGATGTTCACGCACCTTGTAGTTCTTTAGCTGTAGGATTGAAGTAGTCAGACAACAAACTTGAAGTAAATTACTGTGTCGGATATTCAGCATTGGGAGTGTACAACTATACACAACAGTGTTGGAATACATGCAGTGAATTGGTACTTGATTGTCTTGCACACCATGTAGCAACATGAGAATAATGAATGACCATAAATTCAAATCTGATGACCCCTTTATAGAAAAGTTATGGGGTACATTCTTAAAAACACAAAACTAAATAGCACAATCCTAATAGTAGTAAAAACACAGAAATACATCACATCCACAAGTCAGATTTCAATGTAGATATTCTGGGGCATGTCACAGAAACAATGCATATTATTCACCTCGTATGCATATCTCAAAAATAGGATTTAAATTAAACTTTTTGCACAGGTTCTCTGGAATAAATCAAACTGCAAATCAAATGTATTTTGTTTTGTTTTAATAAAATTGTTTTGTGATACTGTAATTATAAACTTCAATGCTGTAAATCACATTCAGGCTTCTTAAATTTGGAATTAAGTTTAAATATTCCCTGTTCTTATTCCAAAAGTTCCTTACCTTGTATGATGACTTCATTGCTTTTTATTTTTTGATTAGAAATGGTTACATCTAAACCACTATTTTTTTTGAAAAATGTATAGAATATTATATTATTTCATTGTTTAAGCACTTTTATACGCAATTTTTCCATGCAAGGATAAGAATGTTATCCATCGATACATATTTGTTATTTAATCCAAATTCTCAATGTGCAAGATTCTAATAGTTAAGATATGCTCATTGACAAATATTGTGATAACCACTCACCAGATTTCAATAAATCATGGTGGTACAGGGTAATCTACAGTTACAAGATCCATGCATTTTAATTACCACTTTGCATAAATTGGGTAACTTCTTAATATCTCAATTACCAAATATCAGTCTAAGATTTCAATTAAACATGGTGCAGATGCTCTGGGATAAACCAATGACTGCAGTTCCTTTTGTTTTCTGTTTGTATTATGAACTTTGGCTTTATGCATCCTGAAGAGGGGTTTCTATTTTATTTAACCAACTGGATGGCAATTTAAAAAAATATTTAATATTTTAGTCAAATACAATACAATACTATGTTTGACTATGTACTGCTTCTCTCTGAACACAAAATATTGGTTTTGTGAAACTTTGATTCATACTACAAGTATAAATATTATGAGTTGCCTCTCAACAAATGTTACTGTATTTGTCTTTTCACAGATTTATCGACGAATTCAGCAGCAAGCTGGATTCATTGAATTCTCACAGTTACGGTTCAAAGAAGCTGCTGAATTGTTTAAAACTGGTGCTCTGGATGTGAGAGAGGTGGGTTGGTTGTCAATTGTTTCTTATTTATTCCATGTATTTGTTATCAGTAAATTACCGTCACAATTAAGTTTTCGACAGCTGTCATGACAACGACAAAATAAACATCTGCATAATAATTTTGTTCTAAAACTAAGCGAGTCGATTGAACAAAAATAACAAGGCTTTGTTAGAACACTGCATGAACATGTAACTTTAATAATCATGGAGTTTACAACAATAAACTACAATGACAAAAGTTGAATAAAATACAAGAAATTGACTGCCATATTAAAGTAGACATGGTTATAATATATGTAATTTCTGGCAACTGTAGATGGCTGGTCATGTATCAAAAGTGTCAAATACTAGTAAGGAATATTCAAGTCGCAGTGCAGTGCAGTGTCATGAATGAAGAATTCCACATATTCACATATTCTCCATTTTTTGTTGGACTGGTTGACTTGTAATATACATGTACATTAAATACACCTCTGGAAATTAGACCACCAAGTATTGGTGCTGTCGTAGACTCGTGAAGTGGTTTTACTTCGTTGAGTAGATTGGATGGATATTTGGTCATGTGACATGCTACAATTTCGAATGTTTTCTGTATTATTTAGAATGTCAGAAATCTGCTTACTGTAAAGGGGTTAATTATTCACTGGGTTTTAAATTTGCTTATTTCGCTGACTGGAAAATATGCTAAATTAAAACCCAGTGAATATGTAATGTTTAGTGTAGAACACATTATCTAAATTATAACCCACTGAATATGCCTGAAATGATAAATCAGCCAAATTTAAACCCAGTGAAAATCAGTCATTTTACAGTATGTTGCATCTTGGAAATGGTACTGTACTGGATGATCGATTGGATATTCCAGTGACCGTTTTTTAGCTCCCGTTAAACGGGGCTTATGTGGTACCGGTATCTGTGACTCTGTGACTCTGTGACTAAAATTTGTTCCACTGATAACTTGAGATCTACAATTTCAATTCAAATGAAATTTGGCACACAGCTAATATATGATGAGTAGATGTGCTGATTAGATTTTGGTGCAATTCCATGCATATTAATTAGTCAATTATTGCATTAATTAATTTATAACTTAGTCTTTAAAGTTTCTTAACAAATATTTGACTAGGGTGAGTAGCCTAATTTGCATATTGCAATAACGTATTCTGTCGCAAAAAAAAACTGGTAATATTTCATTGGAAGGTCTGCAAATTTGCGAATTTTAGTGTATAATGATTTATTATATCATAATGGATGTTATTTGAGCATCAAATAAAAACATCAAATGTATGCGAGTATGGGGAGTACGCATGCGCAGTTACAAGAGTGACGCGGCCATTTTTTCAGTTTGACGAAAAAGCAGTACCCTTTCCGATTTTCATGAACGCAAGTTCAATTTCATTTTGTGCATCATATTCATCAATAGTCAAAATCAAAGACAGATGCGTACAACTTTCTGCCTATCTTGATTTGTAAATTTTCTGGTTACATGTACAGTATTCTCCTCGGGCCTGCATTGCTTAGACAATAGCCGCATAACTTTTGTTTCGCCTGCGATTCTGCAGTGTTCTCATCAGGTCGTTTAAGGGTATCGTGTCCGATACTGTTCTTTCTTTCCACGATACTGTTTCCCTCAAGCTGGGCCATTTCCAGGCCATTGTTTTGCAATGATGAATCAGAACAGAACAATTCGTGTGAACTGATCGATGCTAGCTTATTATCTGGATACTTGTATTCACCTGTGGGTCTGCGGATACTTCGGCCTACTTTCAAACATGAATATAGAAGGAAATCAACGATTTTTTTTCAGTATAGTTCCAGACTTTGCAAGAAATTTATATAATAATGACAGTGATTACTACTATTGGGTTCAAAAAGTATTTATGATCATTCAAAATATAGTGGCCATGGCTGTCGGTTCAACCCAGTACTGACCTTCACCGCTATTGTGACGCCATGAGCAGAGAAAAAGAAAGCTGAATCCTCGCGTCTACACTTAATCCATGTATAAGGCAGACACCGACAGCAGCAGCAAGGAAGTTTGCCAGTTTTATTCAAGATATAAATTTTCTATTTTACGCATTGGAGCTACACAATGTGACTGAAAGCACTTCCAATGTGATCTAATTTGTAAACAATCTCTTTGCACACGACTCCCAGTGTCTTCTCCTCGAGCATACAGTAATGTTTCACATTTGTTTTCGCATGGTTTCCATCTTACTCAAATAAAACGAAGCAGTTGATTCCTATTTTACTTAGTGTTTGATATTTTTAAACAAAAATGCACTCATTAAACAAATAGTAAATATGCGAGTTTTTTTTGTTTTTTTGTTTTTGCCGAACGAGGACAAGGAAGACAAAATAGCGGTAGTTTTGTTTAT